TTTGAATATGAATGATGTAAAAGGTTTGATAAATTAACTTATTTACTTTACGTGTTGTGTATATTCCGAATATTGATATAGGAATCACTAAGGAATATAACAGCCCTAACACAATTGTTAACCCTCTTGCGATATTTCGGGAATAAACTAAGTTAGAATATTATTAGCGATACGAACAATTGTTAAATTTGGTCAATTAGAAAGCAATTAAAAAAAAACAACAAATGATTATATATTACCGGCAACTTCAGAAAAATATATAGAAGCGTTCAAAGCCCCATGTATCTAGTCATGAAACACGTACAAATTATAGTTAATAACCAATTCGACAAAAACCAAAGTGCTTTCTTGAAGATACATACTAATAATAAAACGGATAAAACAATTACACCCGCACGAAGTGGAATACAACAACAGCATGTCGTCGGACGTTTAATAAATACGGAGTGAAACCCAATTTTTTTCATATTTTCACGGTGTGAACGACTTTGCGACTTTACATAAGCCACGACAAGATCATCGTTCAATATAAATATTTCGGTTATACTTTTAATAGTAAGTAACCATAATTTCAATAGCGATAGTTGTTGATATAATATAAATTCACGTGTTAAAACTTGAATGACTTTGTGCAATAAAATAATAAAATACGCGTTTTTAATGCAACACAAAATCACATGATCACCATCTATTTATATTGGTAATTCTTTTTTAAAAAAAAAAAAAATAATGAGCATTTCCTTGAATTTCCTGCGAAAATTCACTCGCGACCATACAAAAATTAACCAAAATACGCTTCTATTAATACGAAAGGTGCCACCATTCACATATTTTAAGATTAATTTCAAACATTTTGATATATTTTAATGATTTTAATTCCAATCTTTACATTTGATTATAACAGTGTAAAAATCAAAATTTACATAGTTTATCATTCAAGTTCGATAACTTTTTGGATTTGATACAAAGGTTAATAATATTACTGAATTAATAGTATCTTCAATAAATTTTTTCCTGAAATTTCGTTGGTTTTTTTTAGAAAGAATAGTAAACCACCAATTCCAAAACAATTGCCAAATAGTTCGGTTTATTTTGGAATAAAACGCGTCGATGAATTTCAATGGCTACAGAATTCCGAAAATCACGTAATAATAATATTTACAAATAATAAAAACTATATAAAAGGCGCGAAATAAATTGACGTATTCTAAAATGGTTTAGGAGGTCTTAAAATACATTAAAGCTGAGAATGAGTAAGTAACATATTCACTCCATTATATATATAACAAAATAAATAAGTAGATTTTATTTATAATAGATATACAGAATCTCTAATGAAACGCACAAATTCATTACAACGACGCTTATCTCATGTAATACTTACTTAATTACTATTATAAATTAATATTCTTAACATTATAATGGACAATAAAATGTGCTGTCTATAAATAGGAATTGAGAAGAAAATTGATCACCCAAGGAATTATGGCACCTATAAAGACTTTGGTGGATGGATATGAGTATTATACAATATCAACTAAATACGGACTCAAATATTGTCGTAATAAAAAAGGATTTCCTCCGATAGAAGTACTGGAATTACTTACTATGCATATTCTTAAAAAAGTTTTTTTTTTTCTAATGAATTTAAAATTTAAATTCATTCATTAGGAAGTTCTGTTGGACTCGAAATGGTTGGCAGGAACAAAAAAAAGCATTCGATCATTATTAATATCACCAGATCATAATATACTTGCTTATTTAATAGAACAAGAGGGTGAAGAAATTGGTGTATTACATTTTAAAATTTTAAATGAAAATGAAAATTTAATCTTACATGATGAGAAATTAGAAGGAATATTTAATTTCGTATGGGGAAGTAATAGTAAAATTGTTTATTACACTATAACGGATGAACAACTTAGACCTTACAAGGTAATTTCTCAAATTTTATCGTAAAATGTGGCGGGAAGAATTTATATCAATCTTATAATAGGTTTACGCACATCAAATTGGAAGTTCCCCGCAGCATGATATTCTTATATATGAAGATTATGATAAATCATCATTTGTTGATATTACAGTTACAAGGGATAAGGTTATTCATAATCAATTAATTTTTTTTAGTTAATTTATTTATTTTTACTAAATCCTTAACGCGTTGTTAGTCTTTTATCGCAATAAATTCAAATAGTTTTTCTACTTCTGAAGTACGGATTTTTGACGCCTATCATGACTTTTCTAAAGGAATTCCGGAACTTAAACTTATTGAACCACGTTCATCTGGATTGGAATATTACGTTGATCATCATAACGTGAGTTAAAATTATTTGTATAGGTAATTAACAGAAGGACTAATTTTTTTTATTTTATGCGTTTGAAATTATTTAAGGGATTTCTTTATATTTTGACAAATTCTGCTAATACGCGAAATTTTAAGTTGGTCCGTGCAAGTCTCGATAATTGCAATAAAAGAAATTGGGAAACTATATTCTCCTTCAAAAATAACGAATTGATAGAAGATATTGACATATTTCGTGTAAACATATTCGCTTATTCTTTTTTATTAATATTCTTTTATTCTTTATTTAAATAAATTAACGCATCCTTTTTTTTCCCAAAGAAATTTGCTGTGATATTTGCAAAAAGAGAAGGACTGCCAATAATTTTCTGTTATAATTTCGATTCACATGATGTGCATCAAATTGAATTACCAACAAAATTTTGTGTTGTGTCTCCGGATACAAATATTGTAGGTTTATATTTTTAATTTTCTCTTTAAAAAATTTGTTTAGGAATTTAACTAGATATCTTTGTCCATTTGAGAATTATGATACGGATATTGTAAGGTTCACTTGTGATTCTCCATTCGCTCACCAATCAATTTATGAGTATAATATGGAAACTAGGAAATTACATTCAATAAGATCTAATCCTATTCATAGTAAATATATTAATTATATTACGCATTTTCCTAATTACTGCAATATACTAATTGAATCAGATTTTGATCACAATTTATACACGTGCCATCGCATATATGTTAACTCAAAGGATGGTTCAAAAATACCAATTACTTTATTACACAAGAGATCTTTGGTTCTGGATAACAAGTATTACACTTATTCATTATAAATAATTTCTTGACTTGATAATTTTCGAATGTATAAATAATAAGAATCTATTTGGTGCCAATAGAAATCCGATGTTAATTAGATCTTATGGAGCTTATGGAGTTTCCACTGTGCCTGATTTTCAACTAGAACATTTCTCATTGTTAGAAAGAGGTTGGGTTATTGCACTTGCACACGTCAGGTAACAATTGCAATTTCACATACTCTTATCCACATGCTTTTTGTTTACATCATATTTTTCTCATTTAGGGGAGGTTCGGAGTTAGGTCATACGTGGTACGATCAAGGACGATTGATGAATAAAAAAAATTCGATTACAGATTTGATTTCGGTGATTGAATATCTTATTGAAGCTGGATATTCAAATCAATCTCTCATCGCATCAATAGGTTCTAGTGCTGGTGGATTATTATTAGGTAAATATTCGTGAATTTAACTCATCAAATTCACTATATATATATATATATATATATATCATTTTTTTATTTATTTCTTCCTAGGAGCTGCCTTTAATATGCGACCAGGTAAGTGTATTTTCTTAACCATTCTACAATTACTTAAACAATTGTCTAATATCCTTTAACGCGGTTTTCTAGATCTATTCCGTGCAATTATCTTGAGAGTTCCTTTTTTGGATCCATTATCAAGTATGTTAAATCCTGATTTGCCACTCACTCGGATTGAGTATAACGAATGGGGAAATCCTCTGGAAGATAAAAAAACCTATGAATATCTGGCTAGTTACGCGCCATATGATAATATTTCAACTTTACGATCACAACAAACTCGTTCAATATTGGTTACAGCAGCTATGAAGGATCAAAGAGTTAGTTATTGGCATCCATTAAAATGGGTAGCTAGAATGAGAACAAGGCAATCAACAGATCATAATGGCAATTTATTGATTTTAAAAATTGATATGGAAGGAGGGCATTTTGGAGATGAAATTGATCAATCGGATAGAATTAAAAATGTGGCCTTTGAACTTGCGTTTCTCATATCCCAAGTTCAAAAAACAGAATAAACGATAGCAATATAAAGAGCTAATAATTGGTTTCACTAAAAGCTAAAATAACTCCGAAGCCATGGCAAAATTAAATTTTGTTAAGTGTCTCCAACAAAGAAGATTTCTCAAGTTGCTTGTTTTGCTTTCTCAATGATCGAAGTTATATCTACATATCTTTCACGTGCTTTGGATATGCAAAATCTCAATTGTTCTGATGTGCACGAAGTTCCAACTTTCCATATATTACATAGTTGTCCAGCTTCGTCAATAGCTATTGTGATTGCACTTTTGATGATTGATTCTTCCATTTCATTTGGATCAGCCAACAAATGTTTCCTATATATGAAAAGATTTTTCAAATAAAAAAATTTAAGTAAAAAAATATTTTTAGTTCACTTACCCGTCAAACATTGCAAAAGATATTGAATAAGGTATCCGTATAAAACTAAGAGCAAATATCTTTTCTTCAGTAGCTTTTACTAAACCATCCTCATAAACTGCTTTAGGAAGTTTCACTACAAGACTTTATGTGGTTAATATTTTAATTTAGTAAATTGGATTTCTTTGAATACACTTACCATCCGCTAAAGCAGATATTAATGCCATTACACAAGCATCAAATATATTTCCATCATAATTTACGCAAACAATATCTGCAAATAAAACCCAGGCAGCTTTTCCCTCTTCAATACATAATGTTTCTAAATCAATTACCTTTGGACTTAAAAAAAAAAAGAATAAAATATTATTATAATTTGCGAGTGTTAAAAGAATCTAAAATCATTATTGTACGTACTTTTTTAATAGTTTGTTTAAATTTTCACTTATGATCTGTGCTTGTTCACTTGGAGGCCCAGGTTTAAACCTCGGGGAACAAATTGGTGACAAATCGATATTCGGAACTATATAAATATTTAACGCGTAAATAATGATAATTTTGATAATTTTAAAAAGAAATGCGAAAGGAAAAACTTTTTTTTTTACCTAAATAACCTTCTTTGGGAAAATTTAGTTTTGGTTCTGATACTTCGGCTTTAATGCCACAAACTATGGTCGTATTTCCTATTCGCACCATGGAAGAACCATCAGCCGTTGTTATACAACCTAAAGAGAGAGAAACCACGCTTTAATTCGCTTATATCACGTTAGAATTTTGAACAATAAAAATATACATACTTAAATTCACAGTTGTTTTGCGAAAGTGATTGTAAGATCGACCATCAGGTCTAACATGCTGTTGAACGAATTTACGTAAGTATTCCTCAGGTTGTATCCTTCTAAATGTTTCGGCTTCAAAAGTAATAGTAGGATTGGGCTTAACATTATTTTCGTTTGTAACTTTACCCATGTTTAATGAGTCGGGAATAAAAAAAAAATAAAATTATTTTTTTAAATTGATCTACGATGGGATCATGCATAAATCAACCGAAAACCTGGGTCACTCACATGCCTTTTTGGAAAACCTGTTAATTTTTTTTTTTTCTTTCTTTTCCTGTTTTATAATAATCGAACCATATTTCATTTAGTTGATCATTAGCAAAGGTCAATTATTTTCGAAATGCCTTCACCAAACGCGAAAAAATATGTTCTTGATGGTAAATTACTACCGAATGCTTTAATTTAGATCTCGAGCTTCAATAATTCTTATTTTATATTCTTAGTTATGGTTTTCGCATTATCTCAGGTGGCACTTTATTATGCTGTAAAGTACGTGCTTAGTAGTTTAGATCCTATGAAAGATAAAAAGAAAGAAGCCAAAGCAAAAAGTGAACAAGTGTTAGGGAAATTAGGGGTAAGTTATTATTATATATTGTATTATTATGGTTATTTATCCATTGACTTTTTGATTTATCGTTTACAGATGAAAAATACGAAATTAAATGAATACGAAGAAGTAATCTTGTCTGAAGTAATTTTTCCGGATGAGATTTCTATTAGTTTCAAGCGTAACTATCTTTTTTATCGTGTTTTATATTAATGTAATTAAAAAAGATTTTTTTATTAATATTTTCTTTTTTTTTTAAAAAAAAAATCAATTGATGGATTATTTCAGAAATTG